TGCCCTAAAGACAATCTTCCACATAGCAGTCAGTGAAACTCGTTAAAAACGCAAACCAGAATCATGTCATAATGCTGATCAAAACCTTCCAATGGCTCCTAAAACTAACCAAAGTTCTTACCATAGCTTTAGAGGCAGTGTAGGATTCGCCTTATTCAACTCCAGCCACTTTCCCTTCTCGCTGTTCTTCAGATACGCCAAAGGGATTCGGCTGCCTCACTGTTTTGCACTTGAGCTCTGTCGAGCTTTCATGCTCTTCACCTGCTAACCTCGTGGCTCGCTCCCTTCCTTCTTTCAGGTTTTTGTTCAAATACTACGTTTTCTGATGACCTCATCTATCACTATTTACCCCCTTTCCTGCTTTATTTTCCCTCCTAGTGCTTACTACCACCTGACAACATACAATCTAGTTATCTGTTCACTTTCTGTTCTCCCTAAAGAGAGCCATACATTCCAATGAGGATGGGATCTCATCTTGTTCATGCTGAACCTCCAGCCAGGGCGTGCAACTGAATGAAAATAGGATACTTAGGAAAAATCTGGATTCTCTATTCATGGAACCTGAAACATCACCACCCAATCTGTTTAGAAAAGCATATATAATAATGATCACCACCACCACTTCCAACAACAAAAAACTTTTTACAAAAATATGAACCAAGTAATATTGGTTCACAGGTATTTGAAAAATTAAGATTAATATGTCAAAAGTACAAAAAGTCCATTTCTAAAGGACAAGGCAGGAAACAAAATTCTAAGGAAAAAAAAAAAAGACATTCCTCAGCTTTCCAGAACATTATCTTACCTGGAAGGAATTACTCTATTATTACTTGCAATAATTCCTCTGCTTATTTGTCAACATCTTGCGTCAAGCAGAATAAATATTTCTAACTGTTTAAGGTTCATTTGGTTTAATTTTCAAAGATCAAATTACTTCAAGATAAATATAATTTAGTAAAAATTTACACTGTAAAGTTAAAATTTCATTCTGCCCCTGAAAAATATTACCCATGTTTCAAGCTTTTACTTAAAAATTTATATTTATAGTTTAAATGTCAATATTAAATAGAAACCATTTAGAAAAATAATTTCAGAAAAAAATTAGTAAATCTATACACAGTAGTTTTAGCTTACTTTCACAACAGTATATTTTTTAAAAATAAATTCTATATTCTAAGTTACATAATTCTAAATTACATAATAAAAGTCACCTAATTGCAAGCTTATAGTTTTATAAGAAAGTAAATACTATTGCAGAGTAGCCTCCTACAGCAAGTAAATGGAAATCAGAGTAACAATATCAAATAATTTAACACTTACACTTCAGTTAGTATTTATAACACCAGGGTATAGATTTAAAGGTAAATACTAGCTTTGACATTATTGAATTCAACACTGGGATTTTCAACATCTGTGAGAATTGCAAAAGTCTATGTTAGGTAGTAATTTGTAATTTTGTTTGGCCTGATTTTGAAACATGCACTAAGAGTCTAACATGGAAACAGGTCCTTGAACACTGACGTGTCTCTTCAGTGAATGACATTTTGCTAAGACCTCTGTTCCGCGCCCCTCCAGGCCTGAGGGTCTATACTCAATTGTACTCTGCTTATACATGCTAATGAGGCCAAAGGAGACAAAACATAAAAAACAAATATCAAACAAATATAAAGAACCAGGGTACTAATCCAGCTCACACTGGTTTCAGCAATGGGTTGAAATCAACCAAATATAAACGGACATTCAAGTTGCCAAATATTTTCTACATAATTAACACCATGGATGAGCACTCCTTAAAAAACAGGTGTACTAGGGCCGGCTCGGTTGTGTAGTGGTTAAGTTCATGCACTCCGCTTCAGCAGCCTGGGATTGGCAGGTTTGATGCTGGGTGCAGACCTACACCCCACTTATCAAGCCAGGATGTGGTGGCATCCCACATACGAAACAGAGGAAGAAGGTAAGAGATGTTAGCTCAGGGCTGATCTTCCTCACCAAAACAAACAAACAAACAAACAGACTGCATAGGATCTAAAAAGTTGAACCTCAAAAGGATTTTTGAAATCATTTAAGGTAAACAGCTTCCCTCAATTATCAGATGGAGAAAGTGAGGCCCAGAGAAGTTACCTTGTTCAAATCAAGAGAAACACTTAATGCCGGAGTCAGGTCTGCGACCAAGTCTGATTTTACTTTAATGTTCATTTCAAAATTCCATGCTGGTTTCATAATAAATACAGTGCATACATGATTAAGAAAAATATTTATTAAAAAAATTTTTTTTGAGGAAGATTAGCCCTGAGCTAACTACTGCCAATCCTCCTCATTTTGCTGAGGAAGACTGGCACTGAGCTAACGTCTGTACCCATCTTCCTCTACTTGATATGTGGGATGCTACCACAGCATGGTGTGCCAAGCGGTGCCACATCCGCCCCCAGGATCCAAACCGCGAACCCTGGGCCACTGAGAAGCGGAACGAGCAAACTTGACCGCTGCGCCAACAGGCCGGCCCCCTATTTATTAAAATTTAAGTGACAAAGGAGGGCATGAAATTATCTCTACAGTCAAATCATGTAAAAAGAAGTGCAAAAAGAAAAAACGTCAAAATGTTAAAACTCTTGGCATTGATATTTGGGGTATATATATACCTGTGTTTTTGACTTTAATTTTTCCTTTCTCTTCCATACTTTCCATATTTTCTACAATGATGTGCTACCCTATATTGTCAGAACCAAAAATAAACTGGAGAGATAAATGTGCCATTAAAAGCCAACACTTGGCTGTTAACTAAGGTTAATAGTAAAATAGAAAACTAACTTGCTGCTAAGCATGCACTATTAAAATACTTCTCTGGTTGAGTAAAGCAAATGCATTGTATCTGAGGGAAAAATCAAGACTAAATAGGGAGAAAGTATATCCACCTGCACTTACAAATTGAAGTATTAAAAAAAAATCAATAAAATGCATTTTACTATGAATTTGTTCTTCTCTCTTTATAGGAGAAACAAGGACTTAATATTAAATACAAACGAAGCAAACTGCAGCTCAGCTTCTTATGCCTCTCGCCAACATGAATTTAATAAACGGAATGTGAAAATTTCATATCTAATTAGCAAGATTTCATTTACTTCATTTTCTAACATTCTCTGAATTATCAGAGGTATTTGAGCTTAGATGTTTTATTACATATAAATATACCAGAAGTTCATTTGGGGCTAAAATATCATATGTTCTTACTGGTTTAGAGGCTACTACACAGAATATGTCTATTTGCTTCCAACTTCTATGTCTGCTACATATCTGGCAGTTCCAAGAAAAGTTCCCACTAGAGAATGGTCCAATTAGCTTAGTTTCCCACTATCCCTTGAATGATGTCAAATTTCATATTCTTGCTTTTTCTCATATACTATCTTTTCCAATTGTGCCCATCCTTTGTGACTCAGGAAATTTCCATCCTCTCTATGAAATATCCTTGACTTACAAAGTCTATAACAGCCTCTCCTCCAAGCTTATATAAAAAATAACAAAGTAGAATCATACAATTTAGTGCATAATGTTCTCTAGTGATTTCATGTACACTAATTTTATATCTTAAAGTAGACTGTAAATTTCCTGGGAGCTGGGAGCCGGCTTATCATTCTTCTGCATTCATATGTACAGTGGGAGCCCAGAGACCAGCAGAGGAAGGAGTGAAGAAGCTCCTTCAATCGGAAATGAGGATCTTAAGCTGATAAAATTAAAGTCAATCAACCAAGCAACCAAGTATTCTCGGTGTACTCAATACAAAGCAAAAACAGGGAGGTGTTACGGGAAAATCAGAGAACAGCAGGCTTTTGCCCTCAAAACCTTATAATCTTTTTAATGTGGAGAGGCACTTTAAAATTAGAACAGAGTAGAGCACAGTAAATAATTAAATGTGTAGAAAATACACTCCAGGAAGAGGAATGAGAATCAGTCTTACTATCATCATTCTGACTGAAGAAGTCACAGAAGTTTCCTAAAGAAATAGAGCCTGAGACACAGACCTTTAGAATAAGGATTCTGAAAAGGTAATGCAAGGGAGGGAATAGTATGAAAAACTCACAAAGCCAGAAAATTATCAAGACACTAGGAGTTACTGAACAACATTTTAGTTGAATAAAATTCTGTGGCTCTTACTTAGGCTAAGCAGGAGAGCATAGAATCAATTTAGAAGGAAAAAAAACAATGTTGGGTTTTGAGTAGGAAAGTCATCAGGGGAAAGCAGAATTTAAATTAAATCAGCTACATGAACAAAATATACTGGAGGAGAAGCAGGCAGCCAGATTTAATATAAAGAATAAGAAAATGGAAATCAGGAGAATTGCTTTACCGTGGTTTGACTTGCACAGACATATCACTTAATTGTCCAATGTGCCTCTTGTGCCCTCGTTTTTCAAATGAGACACCCAGGTTAACTCATTTTCTAGGTTTAAAATCCACTGTTATTACCTCTGAGACCATATCATATGATCAAGTATAAGGCTCTTTCAGTTGTCTAGCTATGAGGTGAAGCTAGGGCAATGGGCAAGATCAGCTGAATATGAAAAACTTCCAAAGAACAGTCAACAGGACTTAGTGGCTGAACAGATTTGAGAAATGAGAAAACGGGAGGAACCAAAGATTATTTTATATCATATAGGGTAGTTGGGCTAAATGTGACCTGTCTGAGGAAGAGAGGCACACTGTGAGGGAGAGCTTGCTGTGCTTGCTACGCTATCCTCTTCCTGGATGTGGGGAGAGTCAGCTTTCTCTCCCGGTGGCTCTACGTGTAATCTCAGGGTTTAGGTAAGTCTCATGGATGCTGTGGTTACCAGCAACGAATCAGGAAGGAGCTTGATTACTGGCACTTTAGTTTATAAATCAGGCTGGATCATTTTTATTGATGCTTTTTTTATTCACCCTGTACTTTCTGTACTGAGAACCTCAAAACCACTATTTACCGTATCTTTATGCATGGACAAGCGGTCACCAAATTCAAGAAAACTCACTTGATGCTAGGGAGAAGGGTGGTAGCTGGAGGAGGAGGAGAGAGCCGGGGAGGAACATCATATTCTTCACTTCCCAGGTGGCCATTGGAGAAGACCTGAAAGGAAATCAAAAGGTTAGTTCGGAATTTAACTTCTGGAGGACCTGAAAATAATAGCAGCTCCTAGAAAATCTATACGTTTGAAAAGAATACACAATTTCAGTTTATTTAAACAAGTGGAATACCATATAATTAACTTAGGAGGCAGGTGCACCACAGTGATTACTCACCACAACCCAAAGCAGTACCACGGTATATGGGAAAAATACCATACAACATGGTTCTTAAACATCTGGAGAAGGAATGCTATAATTTCTATAAATCAGATCTAGATAGCTAGATAAATAAATAGTAAAATTCCCCAAACATGATGAGTTTTCAAATGATTCAGTAAAAAAAAAAAAAGGCAGCACTGATATGATTCTTATTTCAACTTCTCCCAAATAAAAGTGCTCTAAATTATACGTCTCTGGGGTTAGCAGAACATTTTCCAACTTCTCCATAAAACAGTGCATGAGTAGAATCAGAAATGCCTTTGTTCTTTCGAGGGCGAGGCTTTGGCACTACTGGGAACTAGAGACCTGTCTGGCTTTCGAAGTGCAGACAATTTTAAACATAATTTTCAGTGTGTGGACAACACACACCAAAACTGCTACCTTGCTCATAAGGTACCACTGAAAGCCAGAGTTTAATTACTCAGAATTCAGAAATTCTGATTTCCACCTTGCTCAGTTACACGACAGGAACTGTCTGAATCACTCCTCTTTACTAATCCAACAACTGGAAATTAAAGCAACTTAAAAAAAAAGAATAACTTTTCAGAGACACATTTACAAGAAAAGATTAAAGATATTTTAAGACCTTTAAGTAATCATTGGAGTTTTATTATGGGGCTCTTTCCCACACCCTTATTAACTCATATTTAAAAGGTATAGGCTGATGTTGGGGCAAAAAGTATGTCACATGGCTTGAAGAGTCCTCGATAATCCAATCAGTGACCTACCAAGTGCTTCTCTTCCCCCTCACATTTCTAAAATGGTGTTGAAGCTTTAGAATGCAAAAGTGAAAAGGCCATGTCTTTCTCTATCAACTCAAAATAAGTAAAGGAATATGTTTAAAGAATACTTTTGAAATATATCAATGTTTGCATTTCAAAGCTACACAATCTAAATTTTATAGCATTAAAGTTTCACTCTAAAAACTAGGTCCTATGCCATAGTGTAGATTTTTCTTTTTCATGTCTCCTTTCATTAGATTCAATATATGACAATTACATTATGACAAAACACATCTTTAAATGAAATGATTTTATCATAGGTTTCTGACTATGGACCACATAACAGAACAAGGCAGAGTTTTTTGAACTTTGCTAGAGAGAAGAAATTTCTAAGCAGATATTAATCATTGCAAAGTTCAATGAAAACCTTTAACATAAAAAAATGCCTTTTATCCAACAAATACATGTATCAAATCACAAATGCTCATTGTGATAATGAGCATTTAAAGCCATCCTTAATTGGGGTCCTGTGCATGTTGCCAGGATGGATACAATGTAAGATTTTTGCAACGGAATCTCCTCGATGTTACTGTTTCACAACACATTTAAAGTTCATTCTGTAAAATGTAATATGGGTTTTATATGGAATAATTTGTTTTATTAGGAGAAAGTACCTAATGTACTGTTAATACCTAATAAAAGTTCAGCAATTATTAAAAAAAGGGGAGACATGGGAATATTTCTGTTGTATTACCTCTAATTTAACAATAAGACAACCATAATTTTATACTCAGAACATCGTGAACATATCTGAAAAGGAATATCAATATATCCAAACATTTACTGATATTAAAAATGCTTTCACCTTGCACATTAGGTAAATAGGAGAATAAACATATTAATAACAGAGCTTGCACAATATTTTTGCGTACTACCATAAATTTCAACAAGTCATGCAGGCAATGATGTCTATCATCGGTAAAAACCACGAAGCACAGTTAATGACGCAATTTATTGTCTAGGAAAGCAATAACCGAAAAAAGTTAAGTGACTTATTCCTAATTTTGTGAAACAATCTACTAACGTGGTTTAAAACGCAAATAGCACTTTCTCTAACTGCTTTAGAAACACACCGTTATTAACGCACAGTAACTCAAGGATTTCTCCTGCCTCTAAAATGCCACAGTGTCTCTTCTGAACCATTCATTTGGCACTTGGCCTCTGCTGATATTTTGCTTATTTGTGTAGTTATGTTCTGTGGAAGAGCACTCAGGCCACACTGAATCTCTTTCAGCACAAAGACTCTCTGATTTCTTCATTTTATAGGACGTTCCTCAGCGCTTTACACACAGTAGGGCTTAAACGAATACTGACTGCTGATGGGCTTAGATGACCTTATTAATGGAGGCATTAACCAATGGAGTGACTTTCCTTTGGTACTGCTGGAAGAAACTCATTAGTTTACTGAGCTTCTCTTAGCAAATACATCCAATTTGTTAATGGCTAATTTTGTATACTGTTCTAAAATATGTACTGAGAGTTAACAATATGCCTAATACCAAACAAGTAATTCTTCATAATTCTTTCCTAATTGGTAGACTGAGATTACACTATGTGCAAACGGCAAAGGACCTAGATATGCAGGTAGTACTATAGCGATGTTCGTATTTGTGTTCATTTAACGTGCTCATTGACATTACTTGATAGTGGTTGGATGACAAGATTTATTTCATTCTGAATTCTATGTTTCCACCTGCACCCATTTCATTTGACTTAAAATCATTTTTGTTGCCACTAATTGAGGGAGTGCAGTAAGTCGCAACCTTTTGAGCGAAGAATAAATAGTTTTTGTTCTCTGGAAATCTGAGAGGCCTGTTTGCAAACAGGGGAAAACAACAGTTCCTCAAATATGAAGGCTGATACTATCAACTGAAGCAATTCACACTGAAATATCCCTGGGTCAAACCTCCTTAACTCTCAATTAAGGAACCATCTTTTTCTTCTGCCTTCCCAGCTCTCGGTCACAAATCTACCACAATTCCATTGCAAATGCTACCAACTTAAATGTTCTGATCCTATCACTCCTCTGCCAAAAAACTTTAAAAGCTTTCTCCTGTCTATCAAATTAAAGATAACTTAGTGTAGAGGAGAAGACACTCCATTACTGGTTTCCCTCTACACTGCCATTGTTTGACTGGTCCTTCTTACTGTATGTCCTATACTCTATCCAAACTTGACTTCCTACACTATGCATGTTGTCACACCTCCATGCTATCCGTTCCTGTCACATTTACAAAAACAACACTTACCAATCTTTGAATGTCTATAGTCAGTGACCCTCTTGCATGAAGCTTTCCTTATTCCTTCTTTTACCTGCACCTCAATCAGAATGTCTTCTTCCTCTTGGGGATCCCACACTCTATTTTCTGGATGCTTCTCCTATGCCTTATCTACACATACACCTGACTCCTCCTCATCAGATGGTGCTTCATTCATTCGTACTCCCCACCATGAACAATGAACAGCCTAAATTCTCATACAGCTGACACAGGCTAAAGGGATAATAATGTGTTAAGGGAAGTTTAGACTTGTGGAAGAAGTATAATCTGAGTTATCACATAATTTAAATTCTAGATTACCCTAGATTAAAAGTTTTCTACATGCCTCAAGATGGCATTTAATCCTAATCTTGAAGTTTGAAATGTTTTCTCGTGATCCAGATACTGTATAAAAATTAAGGTTAAAACATTTGGGACCCTTGAGAGACAGGGAAAAACAGATACTTTTGTGATAATCTTGCCAAAATTAAGAAAAGCCTTTGTATTGGTAAAGAATCCCAAGCACAACCCTTTTCCCCATCCCACGTATATAAACCCACACATACACGACCACAAAAATATTGCTATAATTCTGCCTTCAACAGTAGCAGATTGGCAATGAAACCAGTGTACACAGAGGACTTATTTTCTGAAAAACAGTCCTTGAGATTTATAGATAAGTTTAAGGTCATTCATATAAACATGTGCCTTTCCACCAAAACAGCAGAAGCCACAATCTCAAAAAGGGGAATTGTTCGGTGTATTTATCTAGTGGCATCTAACAGATTATTGCATATAGGGAAGGTCACTTTAGAATAACGTCACTTCAAGTAACATGAGAGGTCAGAGATAGTTTTATCACATAAGAAACAGCAGTATTCTTAATCTTTCAAGAGGAACGAATAAAGATAGATGGACACAATGTTACTATCTAGATATAAGTAGATAAATTTCAAGTTTCCAATGACATTTTAAAACACGTTAGTGCAAATATTTTAACCTCAGGTAATTAAAACACACAAACCAACAACAACAATAAATAAATATCTAGCTGACAAAATATTTATTAAGGAACGGGTTTATAATGTGGCTAGAACCTGAATTCCAGAGGATGGAAACCGAACCACAGGAAAGAAATGTCTTGCATGTAAAACAGATAAATAAACCTAAGGCAGTAAATGAAAGTCACAGAAAATCCTCACACTTCATTTTAACTATGAATTACCGGGATTTTCCCCTCAGAGCTCTCTACAATTACCAAATGGAATAATAAGAACTGAATTTATTCTTGCTCTCCTTACCATTTATCTAGTGAAGATGCAAATAAAAAGGGCAATAGTTCTAATGGACGTTGGGAACTGGCACACTGACAGATGACAAATATGAAGGTGAGTGAATCTTTACTCCATTAATGGGGGGGTTTCGGTTTTGAAGTCCCCTTATGGTATTCCATATGCACATTTAATTTAAATGGAAACTTTTAGTACTTACCCAAGTTTACGTGTCTTTAAAATGAGAAGATATTTAATTTGAAGCATTTCCTCTGATGAAAACAAGTCTAAATGATTGTTGTTACTATTTGACACAAAAACGTATTTGCTTGCATTTGGAGACTGATGGGTTATTTGAAAATAATAGATCAGCCTTCAAATATATAAATCCCCAAACACTTTATTCCTATGATAAAATTTTTAAAAAATTGCACACTAGGTATGGCAGGTGAGAATACATGGTGACATTTACCATTTTCATCAAGAATATGAATCCTTTTTCATCAAAATAATTTCCCTTTCCTCTTCAGGCCTTCTACAGAAAACTACTATTCTGGTGTAAGGAGGAAAAAAACATTCTATTTTAAATAAGAAAATTACATTCTACCTTTGGTTGAAGGTCACTGCTGGAACAATACATCAAAAACTGTCTATGCCCCTTGTGTATCATGGATGTCCTCTTTCTCCAAGTCCTTTCCTGCCTTACACAAGACTCCTGACAACCCCGGCACGCACACAGCCTTTCACCTCTATCATCCGCTTAAGTACTGGAATAACTCAGCAACCAAGTTACTGAGTGCTGACCACGTACTCATTAGGAAGGACGCTAAATAAAAGGAGAGAGGAAGGGCGGAATGAAAAGATGATTTGGGTTTTAAACTCTAAAAGGAAAAAGCACAACTATTTTGAATGAAAATGTCAACTGTTCCAACTTATTCTGATACTCCGTGCCTAGCTGTTATTTTGGTTTTATTCAGAACCAAGAGGTACTGGGATTTAGATATTTGGAGGGTAACTATTTTAGATACTAGGTACTCGTATTATTCCATTTTATAAAGTAAGGAGAATAAGTGGAGTTGGGGGTGAAGATGTGGCAAGTTGCTCAAATCCACAGAGCCAGTAAATTCTAGTGCAGGAAGTAAAATTCAGGTGTGATTCCAGAGCCTGGCTAATCTATGTTGATAAGATGTTTTAGTTCTGTTAAAACGCAGCTGTCAGGTTTGCCTTATCATTTTTACTTCTGCCTGAAGGAGCTGAACGGTTCCTCTTCTATGAAGACACTTTGTGAAATTTGAAAGGGGAGAGAACACTGGGACTCTGGTTATCCCAAACACCAGGAGAGTCTTGCCTATAGAAGGGCCTTACAGATGTGTAATTAAACCCATTTGGACTGAGGAGCTACAAAGATAGAGTTGTGAGAAACAAACCCCAACCCAGGATCACAGAAACCAAGAACTCAGGATCCCAGATGGACTGACTCAGTCTTTCGCTGTTGTTGTTACTTGAAGCCAGCCTCTTCAGTCTCCCACCAGTGAATTGAGGAATGAGGCTTTTTCTACTTTATGTAAGTTGTGATATTCTCTGTGGTCTGCTGAAGTGGGACCATTTTTTCTTTCATAAAGATAATGAAAAAGGAGAAAAAGAAGAGACATGGTCTGTTTTATAGCACTTAATACATTAACTATATATAAATCCTTCTTTATAATCCACTTTAGAAGTCAAACAGCTAGATTAAATTAGAAATCTTAGAAGTCTAATTTTCTTTTAAATGCTAAGTCTAGTTGTAACATGAAATTAACTTTGAGAATATAAGCACTGCAATTTCATACACACAATGTATATTAAAGACCTTAAAGAATCTTGATGAGGATTATTTCCAGAGAAATAAACAAGATTAAAATCCAGCTTTCAAGGAAGAGAGAAATTTGGCAATTCACTCAGTGTTCTCTGGGATACTGATATATATCAATGATCAGGACAAAAAGTTCACATAGAAAACATTTAAAGGGATGTTCATAACTGAAGTCCCTATTAATATTTCATAGCTACAGTTAGTATAATAAAAATAAGCTTTCATCCCTATAACCTAAGAAATTTAACCCCAATTTTGGAAACTCTAACTTTCTAGACAAAAATTAACAGCCAGCGTCCCAGGGCTTATGAGAGCAAGTCTGTTATGAGCGCTAGAAGTACATAACGTATGACGTAAAGGAACCCTGAAACAAGAGGTCTTCAACCAATTGGCTAAGGTAATTATTCTAAGTATTTCTAAAGTCCTTTCAGAAAATAAACTGTAACATGCTGCTGAGATGTAACCAGGCAATTCTGTCGGAGCTCACTCCACCACTCTTCTCAAGACAAGTATGATCATATATGAATGAAAAGTGATAGAAGCTAGAGAGAAAAAAAAAAAATCACTGAAAAAAAAAAATAAAAGACTGGCAGGTCCCTCCAAGCAGGATTCTAGTCTGTGGAAACATTGTTCTAAGGCTGAAAAGCTCTCCATTTTCAGAGAGCATTACAAAAATTTCTTTTCTAAGTGCTTTCTCTTCCACTTACATCGTATTTACATGACCTCGGAGGAAAGCTTTAGAGCTTCTTGTATATAACAGACGAGGAGACTGACAGTACCAAGCCGAGTCACTGACAAAGAGTCACGGCAAACCACCAGCACTTCTCGCCTCTGTTTTGAATGCCATACTAGACGGTTATGACTCTTCCTATCCTGGCTACCCTAGAATATCACTGAGGCTAAACATTATCATACACAGTTTTCATTATCACTTTACCTTCACACGTGCACACATACGCACGTGCACACAAGAGTCGAGTACCTGTCACACTTTACACTTCTTCATTTCTTGAATATCTTATAGGATTAACTCACCAACTGCAAGCCATTATTTTGAAGGAACAGATCAGTCACCTCAAGTAACAATTTAAGATCAATAGAGATGAGGTCACTTTAACATTGCAGTCTTCAAACGAGGCAAAACCCCCTTCAGCTGAGAAAAGATGGCAGCGATCTGATCGCAGAGCCAAAAATGTCATCGAAGCAGATACCAGAAAATATTATACCTCTGCCAAAGGCCTACAAAGAGTCATAAACTCAATGATTTCTGCTGCTGCCTCTTTGGTTCCCTCTACACTTCAATTCTTTCCTGGACCTATGAACGACAGTGGTGATGTCCTTCACGTAAGAGCTCAACAAGTGTGAGAGTCTCGCTGAGTTTTATGGAGGAATACTTGCTCGGTAAGAGTGCAGTGGACTTGGTGTTTTTAGGTATGTGAGAAATTCATTTTACCTGGCTGCCTCAGGTATACTGTGCTGGGCAACATCAACTCCAGTGACTGATTTATGATATACTATAAATACACAACTCTTTTTCAAATTAGATAGAGCTAGGAGAGTTAAAAAAAAAAAGAGTGCTGGTTCTCCCACCAACAAGTTGTTAACGGGAAAAATTTTTGGCAGATGAAATAAGGGAGAGTGAAATAAATCTCTGGCAAACTGTCTAGTGTCTTCACATTAAAATTAAATCATTTCGAACCTTCTTCCTGACAACTTCTTTTAAGTTCAAGTTTTAATGAGCTTCTGATTATTTATAACTTGGAGATAATTAAAGACCTGCAGGGAAGTGCCACACTGGGCAAAACGACACTGTCCAACCTTTGACACTACCTCCGATCAGAAGAGTTTAAGCAGACTGTTTATCTTCTGCTTTGCAGATTTCTTACCTTGGCTCCTTCTGCAGGCAGATCGTGGCGTCTGTGTTTCCTGATAAGCACTGGGTCAGTGCCCATTCTACTGTGCCTTCCATTTACATTCGAACTAGCTGTGATTCCAGGCTTCGGAGAGCCATCCCCTAGCAGTCGACATCCCACAGATTGATTAGTCCCAAACACATCCCGAGGGCACCAGGCTTCTAGAGGCATAGGCTGGTCTCTGGAAGGCACACTTTCCATGTGATGGAAGTGACGACTCAGTCTATTGTCAGGTGGGACGGGGGGAGGTCTCTCAGGTGGAGGGGGAGGAGGATCTCTCAAGGGAGGAGGTGGTGCTGGCAGCGGTTTATCTTGTTTTCTCACCATGCAGGGAGAAGACTAAAGAGACACAAGAGGAAAAAAGAAAATCAAAAGTTGCCCCATGCACTGAAACGACTTCCAGACCAGTATATCATTGCTTTTGTTTTCTAAGGCCTCATGGAGCTTTATTAGCTTACTACGCCATCTTTCCATAAGTTTCTTTTTATCAGCAGTTAATGAAATTTTAAAAATTTAATGAACGACTCATATAAATATATTTCTTTAGGAGTTTTGTAGAAAATGAGTACACAAAGTCAAATAGTAGGATTATAGAGACCATACAAGAAAAAGCAGAATATCAAAATTATTTGATGATTTTGACTGGTTGACATTAAAAGAATATTGAGTCATTAATTAATTTATTTGCACATTTCCATGATTTAGGAGAGAGAGAAGAGGCTCATCAAAGTCATCGTAGTTCTACCTTTTTAAAGAGCAACCTAATTTGTAAAGTCTCTGGAAGACTTAGCGTTGGTTTTGCCATTTTTGCGTCCGCCATGGCAATACAGAGCAAATGGTAAGAAGCAAATTTGCTATGGTTCTTTCTTTCATCAGTTATTAGCAGAATAGTGAAAAATCACAAATAATAGAGGAGCATCATTTATAGATCTTACTTGAATTTTATGAATCCTTAAAATGAAAAGAAAACCCCACAACAGTCTGATTCTTCCATGGAAATATGAAGGTATACGCCACTGAACTGAACCCCTGTGACTTTTTTAGCTTTTATTTTTATTACTATGGTTCATTTGATGAATGATTTGTGCCTTTATTGTTAGAAAATACCACAGAAAAAAGGAATGTGTTGTGTACTTACATAATTCTGACTAAATAACATTCCAAAATGTCTTAATACGATCTTAAAACCAAGTTGACTATAATGTAGAAAAATCAAACACTACTAAAATATTGTGCTTCCAGCTAATTTTAGACTATAAAGCATATTACCAAATGGAATTAATTTCTAAAATCTTGTATTTAATAAAGCAAAATGATGTGCTCTTATCAAATCTGGAAAAAATTTGCACAGAATTAGAATAAACTGTGGGCTTAGATTCACAGAATTAGAATTATGTCTTTAATATTAAACAGTAATGTAATTACTTTGCAAATATTGTAATTCTTTGTAATTAATTCCTTCAGGTATTAAAAGTACATATAATTTCCTCTTCTGAGTCACCTTGAAACATGGGTGATAATTTATCACACCTTAAGCTCTTATGCAAATACACTGCCATCATATTTTTCTTGTCCTGACACTACGAAAATGAGTGTAAAATATCATTTGATAAGAGCATGCAGTTTATTTTAATACATATAATGACTTTTAAATCCATTTTATAGAATAACTATTCTGACTCTATTTATTTTAGCAAATCAGGGGGCTGTTACAGACACATGCTCTCTCTGAATAACTCTGTTAACTTTTATAGTAATAAAGCCAGAAACACGATCGTGGGCTCACCATCAACAAAATAAGAAACCCATCAAAGTTATTCATAAACAATTAAGAGCACAAAAAATATGAGCCATGGAATTTAAAAGAAGCTGAGCAGTCGATAATTGTCACATAAAATTATCGTGTGTGTTTCTAATAAAATTGATTTACCTTTGGGGAACCAGTTGGGCTGCCACAGGGAGACCGCACTATGCCCTTCTGAATCAGGTCCAGGCGAGGGGGCACGGGGGGCAGGCTCAGATGTGGGATCTGGAGAGGGTCCGGATGTGGTTTTCTTCTCTGTGCAAGGGGAGAGGATCCTGGTGATGTGACCGGTGAATTCTGCCTGTCAGTGCACTAAAAGAGAAAAACGTTGTTTATTCAATGTGGAAAGCGTATGCCTTTCAGTTCTTAAAGACAACATTTAGTTTTGAGAAGGTGTCTGCCACTGAACGTCTGTTAAACTCAGTTTACTCTGATTAATAGACGGAAAGAGCTCACGTTGTCCCTCAATGGCAGTATTACATAAAGAATAAATGAATAAGTTTCTCCTACACATTGCTTAGAAAGGGCTTAGGAAAAAAGAACAGCAAAAGCACAGTTTAAGAACAATCAAACGCAGACATTCTTCTGGAAACCCATCCACGTTTCATGAAGAATCCCAGAAATTCACAATGCAGTAATGCACATTGCTCTTGGTTATCCATATTGTAGAATTTTCTTCAGTCTTTGATTTGTAGTACATTCTAGCACTCTAGAACTTAGAAATTATTTCGTTCCATACAAAATATATATCCAGTGCATTGTGTACTTTCCTACGAACCAATTAAATCAGGTAGAGTTTAAAAAAAATAGTGATTTAAAATAAACAGATTTAAGCCCAAATGTTTTCTTCTCAAGCCTTCACATGGGAAAGAAATCCTCAAGTTTAATGTTTTTTTCCTTTAAAAACAATGAACTAAATCTAGGAAAGTTTGTATTTCTGGTAAAAACTGATACAGTTCTATGCCACTACAGGTTTTCCATCTTGTCTGATAGACAAAATAGCATCAAAAAGCCAACAAAAAGTACTTTGATTTGTACATATGTAACCCTTTCTATTTTGGAAGTTTGTTCCTGTCTTTTTTTTTTAACGCGATATAACCTGATTGCTACTTGGTATAAAAATCATACTGTTTAATCAAATAGCCTCACTAGGATAAACAAGAATCTGTTCTGAAATCGTGGGCAGTGTCCTTTTCAAGGCCACATTACTAGCTCTTTGGAGATCCAGGCTTAATTTTTAAACCTACTACATTAATCTATCACGCTTTGATATTCAGCTGTTTCCTAATGCTACTATTTATAAAGAACTCTAAGCTTGTTGTTAAGCCATTTCCCTCTAACATTACTCACATTTATAAGAGTAGTTGATGTCAACAATTGACACTTTAATTCGAACTCTAACAACAGTGAGAAAGATTTAGCCATAGCGTCTTTAACTAAGATGGGACAATAGATTTGTCAGCAATCTGCGCTTAGTTACACGGCGTAAGGCTTTTTCTCTAACGAACTGAAACTGGGGTTTCCCTGATGTTTTTCTCATCATTAGACTGGGGTTATGGAATTTTGGAAGGAAGACCTGGGAGGTAAAGTAACATTTAACCACAGAGCTTCAAGGGTCCTTGTCATCCCTGTGACTCGTCACTGTTGATGCTGGCCCTGATGAGCCGGCTGAGGGACGACCACCCAGGTTTCTTCTCTGTAAAGTTCCTCTCTTTTCTCCCCCTTTCCAAACTGTACTCTTTGCAAGGAAGTTACTATGTGCAGCCTGCACTTAAGGAGTGGGAAGTTATGCTCTCCCTTGTAAAGGCTTTTTAGAAATAAATTTGAGTAGCTAAACAGAAGCTACTCAATATATTTAGACATAATTTTACACGACAATTTTAAGAAACTTCTCCTTCAGTAATTTCATGATTCTTTTTCATATCTCTTACCTATGATAAGGCAAAACAATTTCAATTGCTACTAAATTGAAGAAGAAAAAGTAGAAATTCTACAGTCATAAAATGATTTTAATGCAGCCAGTGATTCTTAAGACAATTCTACCCTAAAATCATGGGGCCCGACATGATCATGAATTTGAAACTTAGGGAGTAAAACCAATCCCAACACGATCATCAACAGAACAGAAAGATCTCCTGATGTAAAGCTATGTGCGTCACAGAATCGTAGCATTTCAGATCACATGATGTCTAATTCTCCACAGTTCCCAGTAGCATAAATCACATTCTCTAAGAACTAGCAAAACTGTTACCTGATAAAAATGCTTTGTGGATCTGTTTACTATCCTTCACAAAAAAAGACTCAAGAAGCCAAGCCGTCCACAAGTTCCTGTCCCAAACAGTTTGTTATATATATACAGAGAACGCATAGTACTTCACTCAGTCAGTCACCTGCAGAGAAATCGTTCCATGCTTGGTGCACACCCTGCAGAGACTGTCAAACCAGACCTACTCTCCTCCAAGCACGTTTATTCCACAGCCATCTTCCTGCTTCTCTCATTACTGGAGATAAGAAAGAGAATTCTCACAGAGCCAACAGCCCACCCTCACTATCAGAACTTGACTTCTAGCTTTACACTGAATTACTTATTACCATTTAAGCAATTACTAAATTCTTAGTTTGTTCAAATAATGGAATGGATTTGATTCGAAATGAGTGAAGGACTTGTTAGATAGTGAAAGGGTATACTGAAAATCCTCAGGACAGACGTCCAAACTAATGTGTGTGGTGCAGCAATAACCTTGAACTTCTAGATACTTCCAGAAGAACACACTTTGTGAACGAAGAAGAGCAGCTTTGTGAATGTAAATGGAAGCAGACCTTGCTTAGCACAATTTATATTGTGTTCTCAAGGTGATTCCACACTGTCCTTCTGAAGAACTAATTCGTTTTGAAGCACGACAATATCTGTAAGTTGGCTTAGTTAGAAGGATTTTATGGAGGATATGTTAGTATGTGAAGCATCAAAAAACACTATCTTTATTGATTATTTGGACTAAATTCACCATAACTTTTTCACTTTCCCAAGTTCTCCTAAATACAGTAAAATTCCCATGTAAGAGTAGATAATTTAAGAATACTCTATTTAAGATATTTAAGACTGTATTATTTTTTGCTGAACCTTTTGCACTCTCTATCAACTATTCTGCAACTAGAGCATTGCAACTTTGCACTAACTTTTATTGCTGATAAAACTGAATGCTAACTATGAACATCTGGAAACATTTTTAGTAGACAGTGTCAGCAGACAGTCACATGAAGAGGTCACTTCTCATTTATTTGAATAGCCTCCCTTTTTCTTTCCTTCCTATTTGAAAGTCTAAGGTGGAAAGAAGCCTAACACAATGCTTTACTCTCCAGCTCATAATTAAATTCTTAGATGAGACATTAAAAAATCACTGGAGCTGGGCTGGGCAGGTGGTGTAGTGGTTAAGTTCACGTGCTCTGCTTCAGCAGCCTGGGGTTCACAAGTTCCAATCCTGGGCATGGACATACACACCGCTCATCAAGCCATGCTGTGGTGGCATCCCACATACAAAATGAAGGAAGACTGGCACAGATGATAGTTCAGGGACAATCTTTCTCAAGCAAAAAAAAAAAAAGAGGAAGACTGGCAACAGACGTTAGCTCAGGGCCTCACCAAATAAAAAACAAAAATGCCAAAACAACATCATCCAAAAAATTCATGACATCAAAATTTATCAGTTCAGGGGCCGGCCCGGTAGCACAGTGGTTAAGTGTGCACGTTAGGCTTTGGCGGCCCAGGGTCCGCTGGTTCAGATCCCGGGTGCGGACATGGCACTGCTTGGCACACCATCCTGTGGTAGGCGTTCCACATATAAAGTAGAGGAAGATGGGCACAGACGTTAGCTCAGGGCCAGTCTTTCTCAGCGCAAAAAGAGGAGGATTGGCAGCAGTTAGCTCAGGGCTAATCTTCCTCAAAAAAAAAAAAAATTATCAGCTTAACTTTAAGAATAGAGAGTTTGCCCATTTTTGCCTTCTGAAAATAAAAAGCAAAATAGATTGATTTAACATAGATTGATAGTATTTCTTGCATAAACTACACCTCTGTCTCCATATAATATTTAAATATTTAATAGCCTTTTAAAGGACTTTGATTTCTAGAGTATCACAATTTCCATAGTTATCAGGTATAAAACATATCTTAAAGCTGAGGTGTGACAAAGGGATGTGACCAGTCATCTTTAGTCTATGCATTTATATTATTCCACACGTAGATTCCACAATCAGACATTTCCCCCAGGCTTCTTCTCTGCCTTCTCCCACAGAGCTAATCCCCAGCCGAGGAACACACAGGCCACTGATCTTTCTCTACTTCTGACAGGCGACAAAGAGAGTTGTTGGGGAAAAACAACAACAAACAAACCTGGACCCCATCCTCTGGCTCAGGTTTAAATTCTAAGACTGTGAACTGTGCTAACTTAATCACCTCTTACTGATTTATCCAGCATGCCTCATAATCTCTAATGTCCATTATGTACAGAAACGCAGATTTAATACATATACATGAAACATCTTGAGTAGAAGAGTAGGAAAGCACATGTTTAAATCCTGAATAACACCAGGTGAGTGTTTTGTTGATAGGGATACACTGGATTGGAATACGTGAATTACAAGTGTGGCTATCAAACTGTAATGCCAACTGATTACAAAGAATAAGGATGTTTTCTTTAATAACCATATAACTAAACATGTAGTCTGACTTCATATACACATATTCCCTATGATATTTAAGTTTCAGCCAGAACTTTAAAATGACATGTAGTCTTGTATAAATCACCACCTGTTGATATTGTTACCTGCAGATTATAGAATAAGGTTAATCCGTTTTGTGGAGACTTTATGGCTTAAGATAATTAAATGAAGCATGGTAAAATAAAGGCTGCTATAGAGCATTTAATTTTTATTTGGATGACACAGTTAGGAACACTGACTATTTTGATATAGAAGGGACAGAATGCCACCTATTACATCTCCAAAGTTCCAGAGCTTGCTCATCTTCACTCCCAAAAGATAACTCTATTGGAGATATCTTTAACTCTATTGAAGGTTCCCACCCTTCTTATTTTGTCATAGACAATCTGTCTCACTATCAGACCCAAAAAAAGCAAGAGCAACAAAATCAAATATTTAAACAAATAATTAGACTAAAGTCTCACAATGCATTCAAAAACCAAACAGAAATGTCACTTGGATTATTTGCTGTAATTAACTCTGACCATTAGCACAAAAATCTAACATTGCATTTAACACCAATTTTTGTTTTTTCATCTTGATCTAGACAGTGTCTA